CACTCCAAACTGCCCCCCTGCTGGCCTGCTCACTCCAAACTGCCCCCCTGCTGTCCTTATTACTTCCAAAGGACCTTCACTGATGGTCTGTTCACCCCCAACTGGCCCCCCTGCTAATCTGCTTACTCCCATAGGCCCCACCCCCCACAAGCCTAATCACCCACAACTGCCATCCCATCCTGGCCTGTTCATCCCCCAATGACCCAAGCTCCCAGCCCATCCTTTTTTTCTTTAGTGACTCCTTGAGTGGAGGCCAGGGCCAGCTAGAAGCAAGTATCTGGGATTTACTTATCTTATATAATTGAAACTTTGTAGCCTTGAGCAGAGCTGGGCTAGGTGGGGTGGGAAGCTTGGCCTCCTCCATCACCAGGGCAACCCAAGCCATCTTGGTTCCTGGGTTACTTTGCATATTCACTCCTAATTGGCTAGTAAGTGTGGCTTGTGGATGTAGCAGAGATATGGTCAATTTGCATGTTTCTCCTTTATAGTGTAGATAACTTATTAACAGAGAAACTAAAAATAAATGTAATAACAGTTATATAAAAACTTTATGAAAAAACAACCAAACTTTATTAAAAGCAATGGAAATAAATTGAGAGATATAACATGTTCATAGCTAGAAGATTCAGTATAATTTTCTCAAATGAGTATATTAATTTAATGCAATCTTAATAAAATCCTGAAATGTCTTTTTCATGATACTTGCCAAACTAATATATAAGTTCATATGAAAATAATGGTCCATAAGAACCCACAAAATTGAGTAATAATAATTACATGAGTATAAAGATGATCATTATAGAAGACCCATAATTTCATTCATTATACAGTTATATTAATTTAAAAATAATGGTACTGGTTAAAATAAAATGTAATACCAAGGCTATAAACAAAGCCATATATGAATTAGATCTCATTATATGACAGCAACTTAATTAATACTTCAATAAAATAAGTGAGAATAGTTGGCTATCCATAGGGCAGAAGTAAAGTTGAGTTTCTACTTCATAACAGATTCTGTCTGGATTCAACACACAAATTTGAAAATTCATTTTTAAAATATTTGAGGAACATTTTCCTAACATCAGAATAAGAAAATTTCCTGCATAACATAAAACAAAACAAACAATACCCCCCCAGTACTCAGTATTGACAGATTTAAACATATTAATATTTTAAAGTATAATAATTAGCAAGAAAATAAAAATCACAGATTGAAAAATATTTATAAAACATGTAATGAACAAGCAATAATATTCCAATTAAAAACTATACAAAATTACTTAAATGATAAACAAGTTAAGGAAAAATGGTTGAAGAATAAACTGGAATTATGAATATACATACAAAATATTGCTGAACCACACTAATAATCAAGACAATGCAATATAAGAAAATGATGAAATTTTTGTACATATCAAAAATGTAAAGATTTAAGTCTGTGGAGCATTTTCTACATAGCTAATAAAGTTGAAGTTACACACACTATATAATAGTTCAGAAATTCTACTCGTAGTTATCTATTTGAGAATGTGTGGCACAAATGTAAAAAATGTAAAAATATTATTTAACATAATGCAGTGCTGAAAATTTGTAAATGACCTCACTAATCCTCAGTAATAGAATTGTGGAATAAACTGGGATAATTCTACAACGAAATACTTCTTAGCAGTTAAAATTAATGCTATAGTTTTCCATTTACTTTTATGAAAAATACTACCGTGTTTCCCTGAAAATAAGACATCCTCCGAAAATAAGACCTAGCGCAACTTTGGGAGAAAAAATTAATATAAGACACTCTTATTTTCGGGGAAACAGGGTAATAGCCCTGCTCAGGAATCCATGCTCCAGTAGTTCCCTGTCCCTCTCCTGTAGCTCCTCCCTCCCCTGTCCCTCCTATAGCTCTCTGCAGCCCGCTTATAGTTCACTGCCCCACCCTCCTGTAGATCTATGATCTGGTGGTTAAGCTGTTCGTCATTAAGCTTCAGGGAATAATGGATAATTAGCATATTCCTCTCTTATTACATAAGACAATGCTTTTGTCCTATGTAATAAGAGAGGAATATGCTAATTATCCATTATTATCCATTTTCTCCCAAATTTTCCATTTTCTCCCAAATTTTTTCTCCCAACTTATTATATTTATCTTAACAGTTTTCAGCTAGGGAGGGAGGAGGGTAAAGATGAATAAGTAAAGTACATTTTGGGCAATGAAACTATTCTGTATAATGTGTATGATTACTATGCTGTAATGTTGGATGAATGTCATTATGCGTTTGTCAAAACCCATAGAAGTGCACAAAACAGAGTGTGGTCTTCAGTAAAATCATATGAATATTGCCTTATCAAGAGAAAACATATGTTCAGTAAAAACATATGAATATTGCCTTATCAAGAGAAAAAAACAACAAAAACAACAACAAAAAACACATAATTTGTATAAAATGAAATATCCTATAAAATAATTTAATCTTTATGTCTGTTTTTGCCTATGCACATATATACCTATATCTATCTATCTTCTTATCAATCTATCCACCTATCTATATCTATATAACAAAAAACTGGAAATGATTAACAACCTTAAAGAACTAAATCTATCAGACTGTAGTTATTTGTCCATTGGGAAAGGGTATGATGAAGAAACTGTAGTAAAAAAAAAAAAATGTTAAATGCAGACATGGATCATCACTATATATTATATTATTTGTATTCATTTATATATGATACATTTCTCATAATAAAATACTGAAGTCTTACAGTGAGATGCTTTATTTTTCAGATAAAAATGTTGTTTATATGAAGACCTAGGTTAGAGTCCCAGTTTTTGCTCTTATTTGCTTCATTCATTAAATGAGGATAATAAAAGATATTTAACTTGGCGATTTCAAAAATTATTGAGACCCAATGAAAGCTAGTGTATATGTGTGAAAGTGGCTACTATAAATTTTGAAGCACTCTGTTAGGAAAATTTGCAAACAGTATATTGCACTTTTGTATTAATTGTACATGCACATTTGTATGAATTGTAAAGTTTTCTTGCTGCTGAATTAGCCCAAAAATAATATTCAGTTTTAAAACAGATAAAATTCTTCATCCATATCGAACTAAAGAATAAGCTGGATATATTTTTAAATATATTTTATTGATTTCATTTACAGAGAGGAAGAGAGAATGGCAGAGAGTTAGAAACATCTATAAGAGAGAAACATTGATCAGCTGCCTCCTACACCTCCCCCACTGGGGATGTGCCCGCAACCACAGTACATGCCCTTGACCAGAATCAAATCTGGGACCCTTCAGTCCACAGGCTGACACTCTATCCACTGGGCCAACCTAGTCAGCGCTAAGCTGGAAAAAAAAAATAATGAACTGTATGGTAATGATTCTTTTATCAAATGTTCACTTACCTGAGCTATTTGGAACAGACTTAGAAAAGGGAATTAAACCCATATTAAAAACAAACATATGAGTCCAACTATATGACATTTTTGAAAAGTCAAAAATTTGGAGACATTTAAAAGATCAGTGGTTGCCAGAGTTCAGAAGGGAGGGAGGAGGGTAAAGATGAATAAGTAAAGTACATTTTGGGCAATGAAACTATTCTGTATGATTACTATGCTATAATGTTGGATGCATGACATTATGCGTTTGTCAAAACCCATAGAAGTGCACAAAACAGAGTGTGGTCTTTAGTAAAAACATATGAATATTGCCTTATCAAGGCAATAAATGTATCATACTAAAGAAAGATGTTAATAATTGAAAGAAAGGGAAAGGATATTTAGAACTGTACTTTCCGTTAAGTTTTCTGTAGATCTGAAGCTATTCTAAACAACTAAGCTGTATTAATATAAAACAAACTAAGATTCATAGCATTCAAATTAAAACCACAATTCTTATGCTCTAAGCAGATTTCTTTTCTTCATGCATGAGTCCCTCAGGTATTCTCTCAGGATCTTTTACCTCTTGTTTTATTGATAATTTTTACAGATTCAATGTATGGAGTTTCCATTTAACTTGTTAGTATGGCACCTTCAAGGAAGAAGCAACTTATTTATCCTAACAGTTTTCAGCTAGCAGTCAGAGGTGCCTTTGGAAGACCTTTCAGAACTAGCGCATGTCTCTTTTGAATTAGCTGTTTGGTTATTGCCTCCCACCCCATCCTACCTCACCCCAACACTACCATCTGGCTGCCCTTGAACCTCCCTAGAAGCCCCCTGATTTACAGATGCCATTAAATACAGGATGAATATGTTAACACCTGGAGCCTTCAGAGATCACTTTAGAGCTGTGATTGGAATCCCTCCTGATGGGTGTCTTTGCCTTATTTGTTAAAAAAAAAAAAAAAAAAAAAAAAAAAAAAAAATGTCAAGCATGACTAGAACTCAAAGAGACAGGGCAATTGGTGGAGATTTAGTCTACAGGAGAGAGACCTACAAACACAGGTGGGAATGAGGAATCCAATATTTGAAAGTATGTATAGCTAAGAGGTTAATGCTTTTAATGTGTGTAATGCTTTACGGTTTTCAAAGTGATACTGTAAGAATGCATTATGCAGGAATGTTTAAATTATATTCCACATGTTCTTTTTCTGATGTTAGAAAATTTCCTACAATTCTCTGGAAAGGTTTTATCTTGATATGTATTTTCTTTCTTTAAAAATATGAGTTGCCCACATCTCCCCAAGGTTGTCTTCTATGTGCTCTCATGTTGAACTCCATTATATGTATCTCTAAATGTGAACGTTAGAATTGGCTACGTTTGGCTCTGTAGTTATGTGAGGCTAGCAATTATGTTTGTCATCATTGCATAGTAGATACCTAAAAATAGAGTCTATACAAAGTGTTTAATAAATATTTGTCAAAAAAGTGTATCTTTAGTTATCATTAAAAATTTATTCAGAATTATTTTGCTGATGATATTGGGTAAATAAATTAGGATATTGTAAGAAAAGACATAAAATATAGAGAACAATCACCTTTAATTTTCTTTTTCAGAAAAAATAATGGTCAAGATGCAAGTTCAAACAGTCACATCATTCAAAACAATTACTAATGTTGTTGGATATTTAAAGGGTTTGACTTCTCCAGGTAAGAATGGTAAAGAATTTATAATCTGCATTTTCACAAAACATCACAAAGAATTGCTCTATATTAACTTATAGCATAGTTAAATATCCTATATTACATTAAACCAGAAGATTATACTCTAAGAGGGGGACAGTATGAAACCTTAAAGTGGATCTTTATTTTATTTCTTACAATATCTCTTCAAAAGTAAATCATAGTAGATAAGAAATTAAAACAAAATTTAACTGGTATGTGCCTGGTGTAGAAAAGCTATATAAGCCAATGTCTTCTCTCTCTGTTTTTCTTTTATTCACTGTAGCAGTGTCAAAGGTATTTTTATTTAAAAAATACTTAGAAATAAAAATTTTAAGTTTTAATGGCATGTGGAACTTTAAAAAAAAATAATTTTTATTGATTTTTTACAGAGAGGAAGGGAGAGAGATAGAGAGCCAGAAACGTCGATGAGAGAGAAATATCGACCAGCCGCCTCCTGCACACCCCACACCGGGGATGTGCCTGCAACCAATGTACATGCCCTTGACCAGAATAGAACCTGGGACCTTTCAGTCCGCAGACTGACGCTCTACCACTGAGCCAAACCGGTTTCGGCAGCATGTGGAACATTTTTATTTGTTTGTTTTTTGTGTGTTTGCTTTTTTCTTCAAATCTTATCCATTTATCAATGTTCTGTCTCTGACTCGTGGTCCACTGACAATTCTGCCTAAGGTTTGCATGGCTTTAGGTTTCGAGATGCTTATGAAAATGATCACCTGGTTACATTTTATATAATTTAACATTTATTACAGGGTGCTGATTGAATCTTGGGCTAAAATATATAGGAAAAAAAGTAAAAATAATTCATGCAGGTATTAAGAGATTAATAGCCACACTTTCAAATACATTGTGAAGTTGAATCACCTATTACTGTCTGGTGTGCTCATTATAGAGTGTCGAATGCAACAGTCTTTTTAGTACACTTGTGCCGCTTCTATTAATTTGTTTGGGGAATTTACTCTAGTTTTCCTTGGACAAGTCTTCTCTATGACTTTAGTCAAATTGACCCTATAGTTGCTAACCCAGAGATTTCTGAGATCAAGTTTTATATTCCTTTAGTTTCTTGCCAACCAACTCTTACAAAATTAATGGGATATATGTATTTCCTCTGATTTACTTATAGTAAAAATGTTGAACAATTTCTGCTCAATAACACAAGATATACATATACTTGAAAAATTTTACCACTGAATTTTAACAAATTCCCATCACAAGGATATTTAATTGAAGCACTAGAAATACAAGGATTGGCAAAAATTGGTTTACAGTTGTAAATATGCAAATCAGAGGGTTAATAAAGCTATTGTAATAATCATAACCTCCATGTCTTTTTTCTATATGAATAACTGTAAACCTATTTTTGCCCATCTTTGTATTTGTCAATATCACTGCATTTGCAAGTTATTATTGAAAATCCAAAACCTTTACTTATAAAGATTAAAGATAGAAAAAAATATTTAATCAATTTACCAGTAGTATACTTCCATGCATATCAGTAAAGCTTCTAAGATCTTCTTTAAATCCTAAACAAAATATCACACAATTTTAATGACTCTAAAAATTAGAAACAATCATCAGTCATTATTAAGATTTTAGATTCTTATTTACAACTTGCAATTCAAATAGAACTTTCACAAATATCTGGAAAATGAGGGAATGAATTCCCAGGGTTCTAATACTTGCAGACACAATATGTATACTATTAATTAAATTTAGATGAAATGTTGGCAGATCAAAGACATTGCTGGGTCCAATATCAGTGTGGAATCTAAAACAGCTTCATTCAGTGATGTTTCCCATGAGGTAGCCCTTTGATACCATGAATCAACTGGTGATTCATTTATTCTACACATGTGTACTACTTATCATGTATCAGTCACTGTTCAAAGAGCTTTACAAATAGTAGTTCCCTTAAACCTCCAAACAAGTGAGTGATGCAAGTCCTATTTTTGTTCCCATTTTATGGTTGAAGAAATTAATACATAGAATGATTAAGGTAACTTTCTACAGTTACACAACTAGTAAGTTGAATAGCCTGGCTTCAGACCCATGTATGCAGGCCTCAGTATCTGCACACTTAAGCATCAAGCTATGAGACTTTTCCCAATGCGATGATACTCAATGAAGAAATCATTGTACACAGATGTGTAGACCCACTAAGCAAATACATTTAGCTCTGTATCAATAATAGTCACTGATGAGAAAATCAGAGAAAAAACTCTGGAAGCATGTCTTTAGCCTAACTTATTAATGACAATAGTCAGTAACATACATTAAGTAGGCATTCCATGTGTCATTGAGACCTTTCTAGTACTGCACCTAATAGATTTTTTATGATTATATAAAATAAAATATACAAAAAGGAAACTTTTACAGTAATTGGCCTTTGGCTGTTGTTGATTTTTTTATTCTTCAGAGGAAGAAGAGAGGCTAAAACTATAATTAATTCCCTAAATACTTATTGCAAAATCCATATATAACTACCACATTTTTAATATTTAAAGCTACTAAATAACTGCTCCCTCAATGTATTTAATAGTTCATTAATATTTACTGAGCATACAGACATTGTTTACAGGGCACTTCCCACTATGATTCTGGAAAAGTGTTAGATAAAGGTTTCATTGTGGCATATTTGTATACCTCACTAATTAATATGCATGCCACAGAGGACAGTAATATGAATCTAGGCTTGAGGTTCATAATTGGGTTCAGCAGCTGCCTCTGCTTTGATATACACAGATGTGTGAAACCAGACAGGGGTGAAAAATGTAAAGTAGTCTTAATTATTAGAACAATTTTGCATAATTGTTGCTCAGTTGTGCAATAGGATTATATAAATGTCATTAAGTTTATTGTTAAGGTTTGTATTTTGTTTTAATGGCTCTTGTTTCTATTTCCAGACCGGTATATCATAGTTGGCAGTCACCATCATACAGCATCCAGTTACCGGGGGCAAGAATGGGCCAGCAGCACTGCCATCATCACAGCTTTCATCCAGGCCTTGATGTTAAGAGTGAAGAGAGGGTGGAGACCAGACCGCAGCATTGTTTTCTGTTCCTGGGGAGGAACAGAGTTTGGCAATATTGGCTCATATGAATGGGGAGAGGTAAATGTACATTCTTTAGTTCTCTCTCTCTCTCTCTCTCTCTCTCTCTCTCTCTCTCTCTCTCTCTCTCTCTCTCTCTCTCTCTCAAAGTAAAATTGTCAAAGCCAAGGACAAAAATGTGCATTTCAACCAGGGTGTCATATCTGCTAGGTAGCTGAAATCACTCAGAAGAATGAAGGGTGATTATAGTTGGACCACAATGAATTATGTATGATCTGCTACTATCTATTTTTATTGATTCCAGATCTACAGACTCTAATATGACCACAATACTGTTTACCTGGTTATTGCATATCTCCATAGTCACGGTGATAGGAGATGATAGGAATAGGAGATGAAAGGATTAAATGATACATCCCATTAACTTCTTAAAAACTTCCTAGCCATTATCTTGAATAAGGAAAACTTCTCCTATGTTAAAGGTTTATAACCTTAGTATATAACTTAGAGATGCAATATGGAGACTAGATTCAAAATAGTGAGTCTATTTTCTTCTTCTTTCCTCTTCGACTCCCTCCCTCTACCCCTTCCTCTCTCTATTCTTCCAAACCTATCTCCCTGCTTCTTTCCTACCTACACAAATACTTAGCTACCTGCCTTAAAGAGCCTTTGATCAAATGAATGGGTCATGATTAGAAAACAACTGGAATATTTAATGTCAAATGCTTCTATGTCTGTGTCTCATAGTTGTGCTGTTTTTAATAGAATATGACAGCTGATACTTGGATTGATGCCATATTCGCAATAATGAGAACATTGTAAAACTTAGTTTATTTACTGTTAGGATTTTTTTAAAACGGTGCAATGGAAACATTTATTTTTTAAAATCTATAAAGTTGTAGCTAGGAAAAATAAAACCTTTTTAGTTTATTCACTACCTCAGCTTTAGAAAAAAATTCTAAATATCTAATGGGGAATTCTATTGTTTATTTTATTTTATTTTTAATTTAAGCACTCAAAAGACAGAGAGAGAGGGAGAAATATATATATATAATCTCCAAAGAAAATATCTAAAAGTTATAAGAGAAAATAGCAAGTATGTGTTGTTGTTGTATTTTTTTTTTTAATTTAAAGGACAGAGAACTTTTTAAAATTGAGAAAAATGTACAATGTAAAATTTACCAGGATCTACAAATAACAATGTTTTTCCATATGTAATTTAATGGAGTAAATGCTTGTTCCATCTTCAAAAAATCTAGTTTGAATGAATAAACTCCATTGCTCAAAGGACCTTATTAAATTGACAATTTTTTAGTAAAATGAAAATGTAATAGCTAAAACAACTTCCCAAAATTCTATTTCATGTTACTTATTTTAAGACTATAAGTTAGTGAGGAAAAACAATCTAGGGAATGTATTTGTGATCTGAGCTGACTTAATTCAGAATATATTTATCAGACATAAAAGAATGCTTAATTTTATTATAATAATAAAGCACAGTTTAGATAATGTCTTAAAGATTCTTTTTAAATTCTAAGTATTTGCTCTACTATATTATACAGCCTTCTTGATATCTATCTAGTAACATTCACAGTAAATATGTTAATCCTAAAGTAATATTTATATTTCTGAGCTATGTATATGTTCTCAAAGCAGGTTTATCTACCTAAAATTAGTAGTTCCTAACTTAAATATCTTGAACTCTCTGCATTAGAAAGTGAATTGCAAAAAAATTCTTGAATTTATTTGAACATCATATAAGGGCTCATGAGCCACATGTAGCTCTTTGTCCCCTTGAGTGTGGCTCTTACACAAAATACCATGGCTTGGGCGAGTCTATTTTGAATAAGTGGCATTAAAAGAAGTTTAAGTTTAACAAATTTGGCTCTCAAAAGAAATTTCAATCGTTGTACTGTTGATATTTGGCTCTGTTGACTAATGAGTTTGCCAACCACTGGACTAACTTATAGACAGTATCTATGGGCCAGTGTGAAAACAGCTATTTTTCTGAAGTACTTTGCAACACTGGGCATTTAAAAATATTATGTATAAAGCTGAAAATCTGAGTTAAAATTTAGCATTTATTTTTCTTTTTCTAATATATTTTATTTTTGCAGAGAGGAAAAGAGAGGGATAGAGAGTTAGGAATATTGATGAGAGAGAAACATAGATCAGCTGCCTCCTTCACACCTCTTACTGGGGATATGCCCACAACCAAGGTACATGCCGTTGATTGGAATCAAACCTGGGACCCCTTAGTCTGCAGGTCAATATTGTATCCACTGAGCCAAACCAGTTAGGGCAGCATTTATTTTTCTTTAAAATACTTATTAATTTTAAATTAATTGTCTTTTCACCCCTCTTACAGAGATATAGCTGAATTTTCAACATAAAATAGGAGTTACATAGATTCCATAGATATTACAAGTCCTTGTAGTCTTTTATCTGATAGTGTTAGAAGAATAAATATATGTTCCTAAGGCATGAAATAATAGAATTTTTAGGATGTTTTTTAAAATGTTTCAATAGAACTGCCACCACTGTAATTATCTATTAAGTATTTGTTCAAGAAGAGGAGATAAATATCAGAGGGACTTTTTATCTACCTAGTAAAAGATAATCATTGGTCATCAAATTTTGGGATTTAGCAGAGAAATGAGAAAGCTATTCTATTTGAATAATTTTATGCTACTAATGTGCATGAAATATATCAGGTTTTATTTCAGTTAATATGTGCAGGGGTACAATTGTATTAAGCTCCATTTTTTTTTCAAAATAAACAACCACTTTGTGCAAAAAGTAACTCATTGGTTCACAGAATGGATTGGTTTATTAATCATTGACGTAGTTTTTTCTTGCCTATTCTCTAATTCAAAGACTATAAAATTAAATGCCCTCACTTGACCAGAAATTTCATTCTGTATGTTGGAGGTGAATCTCATGTTAACCATTTAAAAACATACTATCTTAAAATTTGACTCAAGACATATTTAAAATATGTTAATAAATTGTTATGTTTAAACCATCACATTTATTCAAAATCATTTTATGACTGTGTGCTCTCAATAAATAGTATAAAATTGCTGACAAAGAACTTGTACAATGTTCTGATTTTAAATAGAACATGCTTAGTATTTAATAAGTAACTGATTAAATAAAATGTTATTTTTATTTATGTTAGAGAGAGATCTTTTTTTTTTCATTTCAGGATTTCAGGAAGGTTCTGCAGGAAAATGTTGTGGCTTATGTTAGTCTCCATAGTCCCATAAGGGGTAACTCAAGTCTATATTCTGTAGCTTCACCATCTCTTCAGCAACTGGTGGCAGAGGTAAGATGAACTGCTTATTATGAAACTATTAGGCAAAACTTCTGTTTTCTCTATAATTTAACATTTCCTGAGATTTTTAATTTAAACTTTTCATTTTTGACACTATTGTAGATGGCTCCTATTCTCCCAAATTGTGCCTACCTCCACCCAGACTTGCCTTCTCCCTTATTCCTGTGCACTGGTGGAATAGGTTTACTAATTTTTCTTGGGTATTTATTTATCTAGTTGTAGAATTGCTAGATCATAGTGTGGGCACATGTTTAACTTTTGTAGATACTGTCAAAGATTCTTCAAAGTGCTTGTACCAATTACACTCTCACCATCAATGTATGTTTCCTGTCATCACCGACATTTAGTATGACTATTCTTAGAAGTATATGGTGGTATCATTTGGGGGTTTAATTTTAATTCCTCTGTTTATTAATAATAGTAAGTACCTGCTTTCATATTCATATGCTCATTGGCGATTTGAGTATCTTCTGTGAAGGTCTATTTAAACTTTTTGCTTATTCTTAAAAGAGAGTTGTTTGTATTTTTTTATCTGTATGTCAGAGTTCTCTATATATTCTCCATACAAGACTTTTGTTGGTTAAATATTGTGATTTACTCTTCCAGTCTGTGGCTGGACTTGTCACTCTCTTACTGGTAGCAACACAATCTTGAGTTAATCTTTCTTGTGGAGTCTTCTAAACAGCACTTTTTGGTTCTAGTAGCTTATTACTAAGAACAAGTTGAATTTAATTTATCTAGTACTTATGTTTAAGGAGCATTATAAACCTTTGTTATTCATTCTAATTCATGCACATCTGAGAGATTACTATATATATACTTTGCATTCCGTTGGGGACTATGGGATGTTTAATAGAATTGAATGGTGTGTGCAGGTTGCCTAAATGAGTAGTGAATAAAGATTCTTTGTAATTGGGGGGGGGCATCTTTCCTAAAAATTAATTTTCATTTGCTTCTTAACTGTAGAATAAAGGATAGACTGATTGGTGGCCTCTTAATAAAATGCAACTGCCTTTGAGCAAAATAAGTTATGAAATAAAAGATAAAATAAGATTTATCCCCCAAAATAATTTTTAACATTAGGATGCAATACAAACACACACATATTTCTCTATATATTGCCATTCCACCTTTATTTTTAAAAATCATCTTTCATACATCACAGAATGTATTGATTTTGCCCTTAGAAATACAGAATTTGATCATCCATATATTACCCAGTGCTCAGTACATCTCAAATAAATAGTGATGGGATTCCTAAGAGGTTATTTTAGGGAAGCCCGAAGCATTCGTACATATGAAAGTAGTCAATCTAACTATAGTTTCCTTAAATGTTGCTTTTGCATCGTCTGCCAGAAGCTGGCAAACTTGATCAAACCTGAACAGTTGCATCAATATTGTAAAACTGTCTACAGGATAAACAGTTTTCTTTTTAAACTCTAAAATGTTAGCAAAGATATATTTGTTTTATAGTGTGTTAAAAACAAAACAAAACACGTTTTAGTTTTCCATATACCAGGAACTCTTCACCAAAAAAATATACTACATATATCTCATTTCTACTACATGAGTTAGAATATTAAGCCCATAATTCTACTACAGTATCACTTCACTGTGAATACCCCAACTGTTGCAGAGCTCTATTGTATAATAAATTTTTTATAGACAATCCAACTCTGTATAACATTACTTTAAATATGTGAGCACACAATAAGCATGTGAAATGCCTTGGAACTTATATTTTACCATGAACATAAGACATGCATAAAGAGCTCAAATATAGGGGCAAGTATGATATGTTCTATACAGAAATTTATGGAAAAGATACAGTGTGTTTGGTTTAATTTAGAATTCTGCATTGTAGAAGATTGATAAAAAAGCATAAATGTACTGTTGACCTTGAAGAAATTTAACAACCAGTCTTTTCAAAATAGAATTCTTTAGTCATATAAACCAACTCCTCTTATTTATAGTGATCTACCAAAGCATCATCTCTAATCACATAAACTGAACTCCATTTTCTAGTTCAAATCAAGGACAGCAATGTATGCTTCTACTCGCTTCCAAACTCCCACGGTTATATACTGTATGTCACAGTACTTGTACAACTGCTACTGACTGCCTGTTATACTGCTGGTTTTTATTCTGCCAGACCATGCCTTTATTTTATAGAAGGTATGTAGAAAACCTGTGACATAGTTTAGCCCTAAAAGCTCATTAGTTCAAATTCTTGAGTTATCAGAAGCCTAGATTTCAAATCACAGTTATTAATTAACATGTTAACATTTTTTCTTGATCTTATATTTATACACTTGATCTTATATTTATAAATTTTAAAAAAGGCATCGCTAGTCATACAAGACATCGATAACAAAATATCACCGACTATGTGACGTAAAGAACAAAACTTTATTTTCTCACAAGTCTGGAAGCTGGAAGGTGAAGATAAGATGCAGGTAGCATGAATTTCTCTTGAGGCCTGACTGGCAGATAGCCACCTTCTCATTGTGTCCTCACATGGCCTTCTTCTCTGTGCACACTCATTCCTGGTATCTCTGCCTCTTGTAAGGAAATCAGTTGTATTACATTAGGGCCCTAAACCTTATGATATCATTTAAATATATTTTGCTTTATTTTAAAATATATTTTATTTATTTAAGAGAGGAAGTGAGAGGGGCAGAGAGTTAGAAACATCAATGCTGAGAGAGAATCATTGAACAACTGCCTCCTACACACCCCTTACTGGGGATTGAACCTGGCGTGTGCCCTTGACTTGAATTGAACCCAGGATCTTTCAGTCTACATGCCAATTTTCTATCCACTGAGCCAAACCAGCTAGGGCAACCTATTTTTTATTTTATCATTTTAAAAGCCCTATTTGCAAATATAGTCACTTTGTTGGTTAGACTTCAACCTATGAATTTTGGGAGGACATCTAGTCCATAGTCTTATTCAAAATGCAGATTGAAAGAGTATAGAAGGTAGGGTTGTAGAAAGAAAATAGTTCTCTTTTCTTTCTTGCTATAGTTGATCATTTTAATTACAAAGAACCAAAACAAAGTTTAAATTCTATTCTGCTTGCTATAAAATACAAAAGGAAAGCTGGCTTTGAAACATTCTTCTTATTATTTGTCTTCCATGATAGATGATATACTTTTTGTTTTGCTATTTTGCTCTGTTTAATTTTTTCAAGATGAGAAATTCTCTGTAATTTTCTGTTCACAGAGAGGAAGGGAGAGGGATAGAGAGTTAGAAACATCAATGAGAGAGAAACACTGATCAGCTGCCTCCTGCACATTCCATACTGGGGATGTGCCTGCAACTAAGGTATATGCCCTTGACCTGAATCAAATCTGGGGCCTTCCAGTCCACAGGCTGATGCTCTACCCACTAAGCCAAATCGGTTAGAGCTGATTTGTTTTTTCCATAGTGCATTATTTTCAGGGCATTTTACTAAATCTTCCTTTCTGCTGCATCAATTGCTAGTAGTCAACCGGAGTGAACATAATGACTAATTCTCTGATTTAAAGCCCCTTCTTCCACTAATTTACCACTTTGATAAACTCCACATTTAAAATTTCATTCTATTGGTAGGTTTATCTATCTCTTAGGTTTACAAGGCTTTGCTTTGTCTTAAAACTAAGCAATCCCTCTAGTTTATTACTGTTTTATAAAGTTTCTTGTTCAGTATACATTGAGGATTTATAAATTTATTTTTATTTAAATCTAGATATTAAAGGAAGTTTTTGTGAGAATTTGGTTAAAACCCTAAATTTCAGAAGGCAGCTGACTTAAATATTTGAACTATATATAGTCAAAAAGCAATTTAAACAATTTGAGATATTAACTTAGTTGGACTAATACACAAACTCAATGTTACATTCTTAAAATGGCTTTATCTAATTTAGTTTTTGTCTGTGACATTTTTAAAAGACATAATTTTATTGATTTCAGAGAGGAAGTTGAGAGGGAGAGAGATAGAAACATCAATAATGAGAGAGAATAATCGGAACTGTGACCTCCTGGTTCATAGGTGGATGCTCAACCACTGAGCACACAATTGGGCTTGTGTGTGGCATATTGACTAGTATATCAGACACCAGTCCTCTATAGGACACAAAAAATGACCACTTACTCAGGACTAATAGTAGTAAATCACCATTGTTGGCAAGTTAGATAAAATTGTTTCACCTACTAAACACTATTAATGTAGTACAATAAATTTTGTCATTAAAAAAAAAAATTAAGCCTAGCTGGTTTGGCTCAATGGATAAGAGTTTTGGTCTGTGGAGCCAAAGATCCGGGGTTCAATTCCAGTCAAGGACAGGTACTTCAATTGCAAGCTCCTCTCCAGCCTAGGCCCTGGTAAGGTCACGTGCAAAAGGCAAGCAATAGATGTGTTTCTCTCACATCAATATTTCTCTCTGTCCTTCTCTCTCTCTTCCACTCTCTCTAAAAATTAATGGAAAAATATCCTTGGGTGAGGATTATATATATATGTTAAAATATGTAGATATATTTTAAGGTTGCTATATATATATATATATATATATATATATATATATATATATATGTGTGTGTGTGTGTGTGTGTGTGTGTGTGTGTGTGTGTGTGTGTTAAATCTACTCTTATGAGTTGTCTTCCCCCCCACCTGATCTTTAATATGTTTTGGTTAAAAACCTACCACTATTATAATTAATCATCTACATAGCAACCTCAAGAGTAAAGTTTTGCCCTATGATATATGACATTTTTTGTAGAACTTTTATGAGTAATAAAATTAGGTTAAATAGATATGATGTTATGCTTAACAAAACAGAATCACTGATTTCAAGTTACTTGTGGTATTCAAGTTACTTGGGGTAATTGTACTATTTATTACCATGTGCTTAATTTATAAATTGTGGTTTATTTGTTTTTAAGTGGTATCCTAATCAAACCATTTTGTGTTTGTGTTCATATTTTGGATTTGAATAGTTCCCTTGGCTCTT